TGTCCTGTTCGGTACCGAAAGCTAGATCTGCTCATGAAACGGCGCAAGCCGCCAGAGCTGGCTGTATCAAGGCATTTACTCCGCGAACTAATTGCAGCCCGTACGGGGCACGACAAAGGAGGGCAAGACTGAACACCTGTACGCGGTGTCCTCTACGAACCTGGGAGTGAAATATTCTCCCAGAGCCAAGTTCAGTCAAACTTCGCAATACCGAACAAGTTGGCCCACGAGGCAATGATTCAAATTACTCCACCATATCAATCTTTCACTCCCAACGAAATCGATTCCTACCTAAACCTCATCAAGTTTACAAGTACGACCTAGTACATCCTAATCCCAATGACCACACCTCTTGTCGACTTTCTCTGGCCTTAGCTGGTCGCCAGATACACGCCCACGCCGATATTTACACCCGACGGAGGAAGCAAAGCGTGGCGCACAAATCTGGAAGACAATTCCTTGGGATGGATATGAGAGAGATCAGGACAAGTTAATAAGATGATGCAGAGGATTGGATACAGTCTCGACGGGCGTGGAATTTTGAATTTTGGAAAGGAGTTTTTACAAATTGAGCTTTGTGCGTGCCAAGTCTTCGGCTGCGAGAGTGCAGGTGACACTATAAAAACTGCCATGGTTGGATGGTGCGGTGGTACATCATCTTGGCCGGTCTGCCAAGTAGAGTCTGGATAGCTTGGACACATATCCCACTTGAGACAGTAGATCGCTGGTTCGAATCCGGCAAAACACAACCACATTTCTCGCGGCGCTGGTATGCATGGATGACGAAGGCATGCTTGGATAATCAAAGGTTTCGAAATTCCCTTTGGTGGGTACTAACGGAGGAGGGTCGACTGTTTGTGTAAGCAAGCATACCTCATAGTGGTATTTGCAAATGAAATCCAGAGTATGAGTGTCTCTAATGTCAAAAGAGTCATCCCACATGTATACATAGCGCCGGTCATGTGTCATAGCTAGATAGCTGAATACACATTAAATGATTTAAAAAAAAAAAAAAAAAAAAAAAAAAAAGGGGCACGACAATTTCGCGGCCTATCATCGCCGATTCAACAATGCAGACGCACCTAGTGAGTACGCGTTTGGGAAAGAGACTAGTCCAACCCACTTTATACACTGTCGACTATATTCTCACGAAACACGTCGAATACGAGGTCTAAAGTCCCACGACGACTTCCTACACCAGCTTCTCGGACCTAAGTGCCTCGAAGACTTCAGAAACTTGGCACAGAAAATCCAATGTTATGGGTGATCAGCTGCAGGCTGGACCTCTGCTCTCAGCGAGGTCCATATAAATCAATCATGTAATATGACTCGATCGGAAGGAGAACGAGGCGAGGAGCTTTGCTTCCCAACCATAAGTGCTGATATTTAGTTTGAGCTCAAATTTCTGGAGCCTGGGGTTATGTTATGGTTTCTATTTTTTATATAGCTGCATGTAATTTAACTGGCTACTATTTGTGTAGTGGTTCACGTGGTGGGAACAAGCTGAGCGTGTCATTGATTTGATCTTAGCTGTAAACACCGGTCTTTGACCCTTAGGGGATAGCGGGTGTAGCCTAGGACTTGAAAATTTAAACAAACATGACCGGTGCTACGAACAGGCCACGGCAATTTTGCGGCATACCATCGCCGTTTTAATAATCCATACGCTCTCATGGAGTGCTCTTGCGGGAAGGAAACTGCTCCAACCCACTTTATCCATTGTAGTCGCCACGCACAACAAACGCGTAGGCTCAGAAAGTCAATGTCCCACGCTGACTTTATCAAAAAGCTTCTCGCGCCCAAGTGCCACGATAGCTTCAAAAATTTTGCGCAGGAAACCGGCTGTTTTGATAGACGACCTGCTCACTTATCCACTGCTCTCAGTGGGGATCAGATAAACTAGTCATTGCCACAACGCATGAGACGAAAGGGATCGATGCGAGAAGTGTCGTTTCTCTGAGAAAATCTTTTATGTACTTGAATTTAGGGTTGAAGGATGGAGTCTCGATTTCGGAGTCGGAGTAGGTGGTGTCTTCTGAGTTATAATTTACCTCCTACCTTTTCTGTAGCAGGTCTCGCGGTTGGAATGAGTTGGACCTATAAGCAGTGATCCCCACCGGCTCCACCAGTCTTGTACCTATAGTGGACCTAGAGCTTTAGCTTAGGACTTTAATATAAAAAAAAAAAAAGACCGGTGCTATGTAAACATGTGGGATGACTCTTTTGACGTTAGAGACACTCCCAGGTTTGTAGAGGATACGGCGAACGGGTATTCAGTCTTGCCCTTCCAAGCAACAATATGTGAGTGTGTGTTTATTGTACTACTTGAGTCTGTGACTATCTAACATATTGCGCTCCTCTCCGACACAGACCACGCCTCGTACAGTGCTCCTTGCCTCTCATGTTTCTTGTAAGATTATTGATATATAATGCCCTTGATGAATAGCCATTCAGCTCAGTATTAACCCGTAGAATTCGGCCACCTTTTCCACGGAACTTTCTACTCAAAAAAAAAGTTTAAGCAAGGAAAATTTCCAAAAACCTGCAGCCCCAGCCAGGCGAGGCCTAGACACCGGGACCACATGAGGTGCGCATATTCATCTACATCTCCCTTCTTTGTAACAGTCGAGGCCATCTTGATCCAATCCACCATCTCCGTATCGGGTGCTGGGTACGCTCCGGAAACTCATTGGATGGCTTTTCCTCCATGATCAAGGATGGGTGATGAGTAGGGCTCCGACCCTACCATCTGATCTGGTCGTGGTTAGCTTCATGAAAATGGTGATAGGGGAATGTGTTGAGAGATAAAGACGATACAGACCGCGAAAGCGATTGGGAATCCTCGTCGGAGTGAGGACTTTGTTACTCAATCTCGGCTCTGCAGACTCTACAGTGAGAGCTGGAGGTTTGTAGGGGACACCGCTGACAGGTGGTGAGAATAGTCCCCCATACTGCCGGGTAACTAGGTATAGAAGTAGGGGGACTCGTCTGCTGGTAAGCGAAGACCTGCAATTCATCCTGTGGTCGAGACGAGACCTGGGTCGGATAATACTGAAATCAATCTAGTTACTAAGCATTATCGTGAATCGCTTTGCATGTCTATGTGCACAGACACATATACTGCTCCGGTTTACAGGCGATCAATAAATTGACGGCTATTCGAAGGAAGAAATACTCATCAGCTTTCGATCAAATCTAGATCCGACATACGCAATTCTCTATCAACTGGGAGGGTCCTGTGTGTTACGGACATGAGGGGAAAATATTTCTCGCCTGTTCAATTACAATTAGGGGAATAAGGACCTTTGACAAGAGCCCAAATTAGCCTACAACATCAAAGCCATCTATTACGCATCGTCGATTCAGAATACAATAAACTTTTCTCACGCTTAATGGCACCTCACATGTCCGATCAAGAGTGGTGCTGGGTAGATCATATGTAGGAGCTCCGAGAGCGGAAGCAGTCACTAATGCTATTGTCTGGAGGAGCGCCAGCACCTCGTCTCCGATGACTACCCTGACAACATCTACGGCCACGCTTCAAAGATAACCCAACTGAACGCAAGTTTTCAGAAAGATGTCTCGTCATTTTGTTGCTTCTATCCTTACACGTTCACACCTATGAGTTGTGCGCATTAGACACACACAAGTTGTCGAGTTCTGTCTAAAATTCTGATGTCATGGTATCAGTGACCAAGCAGACTCTGCATGGCTATCTTGATGATAATTGACAACTTCAGTAGTAAACCAGAGATCGATTCATGCGCATCTAGTCACCAACTTACGAGTGTGAGAGCGCCGAGCTTGAATGACGTGGTTGGATATAGCTTCTGTGATTCAATGATGTGGCAGCAGTCTTCAACTACTTTAGGATGTTTTGGTTCCACCTAATTACGGGTCGGAAGCCTCAATAGCTCGGACAGTGGTTTCATATGCTCTCTTCATGGCCTTTGTCGAGCCATGATGGCCCCTCGTGTCTTTATTCTAGTGCACAAAGGAGGAGCTACTGTTCCATGGTTATTCCCCTTTTCTAGCCGACCAAACGATGGAAATTTGCGGGTCTAAGGCGGCCGGGATCGTTTGCATTAGTCCGCGTGTGCAGAGCTCATCTAATCCCGACATCAGTTCTAGATCGGAACAGACAGCTGACTTTCTGAAGAGATCCAGGAGACCATTCAGCCAACCACTACAGGCTCTTTTGTACCGATGAGAATCACACTACCGTGCTAGCCTGCTTTCGCCGCTTTGCTTCGTCCGACATTGAAAGTAAATTGGAAGCTCAATTGAACTGGCAGAATAGTCGTGACGAAGGGTGTGTGCGATAGACAAGCATATCTTTTCCATGCAGACTTGGTAACTGTTAAATTCGTAGAATCCTTGATAATTGAAGGCCTCCTTGCAAGTATTTAACACTTTCTCATGTCGATAGACACTACCCGAGAGCCGTAGGGAGCACCGCCGACCAGTGTGATATCTTCATCCCCCTCACGGCTTTTGCCCAGCAGAAAGACCCCGTAAGGTGTGCATATCGGGGTGTGCAAGCATTTAAGCTTTTCCGCACTGTCTCATGTCTGTTAAGTTGTACAGGAGACTAGTCAGGGCTGTTGAGCCGCTAAGAGGTGCAGCTAGAGCGTGCATGTGGCCCAAGCGCGCATCTCTACGTATGCTGAAGTTCACATGAATGGAAACGATCAAGCGCAGTGCACAGATTCCTTGTACAGCTTAATCACATCCACCCGATAATGTTCATGGCCTACGAACCATCTACCGCTGAGCTAAATACTTCTTGATCAAATGACAAGATCATAATTGTAGGCTCTACTAATGTCACATACACTCACATCTGAGTCCACCTTACCTGCTTTCAGTTATTTTTCTACCCCTAAATCCGTTCTCGAACACTCACTCATTAATGTCATCGCAGAACTCGATCTATTTCTTTGGAATGAGCCTTTTGATGTCTTCTTCAGGAAAGACCTATAAAATCAACTGTACAACACATGGGTCACCTCCTTTGGAAATATTACCACCATGGGGACCTCATTAACTTCCGGAAACTCCTGTCAGATAGTTACGATAGCATAGCTTATTCCCTCGATGAAAATACACTACAATCTGATGACAAACGTAGCACTGGAGGCCAAACTGATCTTGCCATCTCTTCTAACAAAGTCAAATTGAGAAAATCTCTTTGCCAACAAAGAAGTGGTGCATCTTTAAAAGGAGCTCAAATCAGTCTTTCTTATTTCGACGTTAACGGCAGAGATTATGCCGGATTGACGATTTTACACCGAGCCGTTTCCTCCACCGAAAAATGTCGCGACGAGAATGGGTTCGCCACGGCCCTCCTCAATCACCCTGATATCGATTTGTGCGTACAGGACATTGAGAATGGCTGGACTGCTCTACACAGAGCGTTGTACTTTGGCAATATCACCATGGCGAGAGCAATTATAGAAAGAGACGAAATAAATGTTGGAAAGAAAACTAGCAGCACTACACCTGTTATGTCAAGTTCAGTTTTTAAAATAAAGGACAACGAGAAGAATAGACCATTCGATTTATACCAAACCATTCTACCCAAGCCTTTTCCGAATAACTCTCGTCTCACCTCTCCAGGCTTTGATGATCAAGGTTATGCTGAGGATTCATCCGCGCACGATGCGAAACCATCTGATTCAGAAGCTTCAGAGTTTGATTCAGTGGACGGCAATCTAGTCTTTGCTTGGGGTAGTAGCCGAAATTGTGGACTTGGTTTCAAGGATCAAGATGATCGCCATTATCCCGAGAAAATAACACTAAGGCGTCCAAATAATTTATTGCAAAGGTTTTATCAAGAATATCAAGAGTCGCTAGATGATGATGAGTCGGCGAAAATTAACCAACCTGTGGCACAATCTATATCTGATATACCTTTCGTGATAGCTAACCGTCCGATAATAATCCGAGATGTTGTTGTATCAAAGCTCCACAGCGCAATTATAACAGCTGACCCAGAGTCAAACCTCTACATGTGTGGTTTCGGACCAGGTGGGAGACTTGGAACAGGCAACGAAGATACCCAATTTTCATTCGTGTCTGTGCATGGAGGAAGTCTTGCCGGAAGGAGGGTCTTAAAAATCGCTCTTGGACAGGATCACTCTTTAGCCGTTATCGAGGATGGTTCGGTCTTATCTTGGGGCTCTAATGTTCATAGTCAACTGGGATATACCCTACCATCAACGAGAACTCAAGATCATGGATTAATCAACGTGCATGCACGTCAAATATTGGGTCCTCTCAGAAGAGTAGTTGTAAAGGGGGTCGCAGCTTCTACTTTTCACTCCGCAGCTTACACCTCTACTTCCTTGTTTACTTGGGGGAGGAATAAAGGACAACTCGGCTTAATGGACTCCGATTCAAGGAGTATCAAGTTTCAGTCAGCTCCTCGTGAAATTGCCGTCTCGATTCTCAAGGCGCCAATTACTAACGTCTGTGCCACTGATCATGCCACAATTGTGCTTCTATCAAACCACCATGTCTATGTTTTCACAAATCATGGGTATAGAATCGTAAAGTTTCCCCTCAATCACCAGCATCCCAAAAATTATCCTAATTGGAATTCGAACCTAAGTTTCCAACGAAGATCCAACTATGTGTCATCCATTACAGCTGGTAATGATACGGTAGGAGTCATCTCAAGTCGCGGAGAACTGTTTACCTTCACTGTACGAGAGGCTCCTTGTAACTCGAGCTCAGGAAAATCAGAAAATCCCGAAAAGTATGACTCACTCTCTCAACCCGAGAGGGTTTGGTCACCGAAGAAAGAAGATACTAGTGGTATAAAATCTGCTTCTATTAGTGAGAATGGATCAATCCTTGTTTGTACAAGAGCTGGTAGTGTTTGGTACCGCATGAAGCGGATAAGTACCCCGAGACCTGAAGTTAACTCTGCTTCATCCAAAAAGGAATGTCAAGGGTTCGAGCGTATTCCTGGCTTGACAAATATTACAGCTGTGAGAAGCACGTCTTTTGGTGTCAACATGGCGATTCAAAAAATAAATGACTCAATCGAAGAGCGAATCTACCTCGATGAGCCTTCTCTTCGAACAGATACTGCGAGCCTAATGGTCTTTCACCGCCTGGAAGGCTTAGCACGCGTACAATCTCAAGAGATTGTTTCGGTGCCGAGAAAAGCAGAGTCCAACTTATCAGGCTCGGTCATTGATTCACTAGAAAGACTAATTCACGCTAGCTCTGAACTAGAAGCATCCTTACGCCAATGCTTACTCAGACAGCCCAATGAACGTAGCTTCAATATAGAGGTTCGAACTTCCAGCTCTGATGTCTGTATACCTATGCATAGCTTTCTGCTTGGACGGAGTTCGGTTCTTCGAAGGGCTATGAGACAATGTCGAGATCATGGAGAAATCTTAATTCCAAACATTCTATACATGAGAACAAAGGCTTTGACGGGTGGATCAGAACTTTATTCTAATGTAACAACAACCTTGACTTTTAAAGGTCTCGAATTCATGGCACTAGTCAATCTCGTTGTCTATCTGTATACTGATACGGTGATTGATACATGGAGATATTCGAATCAAAAAACATCGGAATCATGTAGGAACCAATCAATCTTATATCAACTAATCAACTTTGCTGGCCATCTAGAGCTAAAGAAACTTCAAACTAGCCTTTTTCTTCGGTTGATGGCTGATGAAGGTATGGATACAGACATGAATCTCGCAATTATGGATTCAACTTTCTTTCAAGATGGCGATGTCATAGTTGAGCTCAAAGATTCTGAGAGGATGGTTCATAGCGCAATCCTCTGCCGACGGTGTCCGTTTTTCCAGGGTCTTTTCAATGGTCATGCAGCCGGAATGTGGCTGGCGGGAAGACGGCAAGGGAGTGCTACAAATCCCGTTCGGGTCGATTTAAAGCATATAAGCTCCCGGATCTTCGATTTTGTAATCCGATTTATCTACACCGATAGTCGCATCGAGCTCTTTGATAAAGTTATTTGCGCGAACATCGAGGAGTTCCTAAATTTAGTGCTTGAAGTTATGGCTATTGCCAATGAGCTTATGCTAGACTCACTATCGAGGGTTTGTCAAAAAGTGGTTGCGAGGTTTGGTAAGTAATGATACTTCGCAATTCGGGAGTCCTAGCTCACGAATAATAGTCAGGGATCAAAATATATCCAGTCTAATTAATATTATTGCTCCGTGTTCTGTGCATGACTTTAAAGTACATGCTTTGGCATATATCAGTCGACAGTTGGAATTAATGCTTGAAAACTACTTGCTTAGTGACCTTGAAGGAGATCTTATCCTTCAACTTGATGAGATAGTACGTCAGCACCGTCGGGATGTTTTTCTTGAAGTCAACCGTTATGAAAGAATGTTTCTCTTGCGGTATCCTGATTTGACCTCGGATATAAAGGATGAAAGACTTCGAAGGATAAAAGATATGGAATTTCGCGCGAACCTGGGCCTATCGAGTAATCGATCAGATCTTTTATCGACGTCTCACACTTTGAGCGCAGAAAATATTGAGAACGTCCCTCTCTCGCGAAAAAAACTAAAACGGAAGTCCAAAGAAATGATGAATATTCCAAAGTCCCCAGAATCTCGGCAGCTTCGACCTGAGTCTGACTTAATTTTTGAGATGGACACCGGTGATTGTAGTCCTCTGAGCAGAATATCAAGATCTCGGATAGAAGCAAAGATGGATAGTAATCTCGTAACAATAAATCATACAGCAACAAAAGTTGCTGATCCCACCTGGTGTCACTTCGGCAATATTGAACCTTTCAATGACGCCTCGCATCAAGTAATCTCCAGTAAAGGTCTCGAATCTCAGACCGAGAGCTTAGCTTCATCGATCAAGACTTGGTCATCGGCCGTGCCGCTACCATCAAAACCCGATATGAGAGAGATCATGGCACAAGCGACTTCGACTAAACCCAAAAAGATTGATCATCCAAGTACTGTGAAAGAATTTGAGGCAAGGTTAAATATGCCCAAAATGTCCCAAAAGGAACGTAGGAAGCAAAATCATAAATGTGCTGCAAAATGCTTGCCATCATCTGTTGACGAAAGCTTAAAAATAAAATCACCTTGGAATATTAGTAACAGGATAATAAGAGGAAATTCTAGTGATGGGCTAACAACACCTCAATCCAAGATTACAAGATACGCCGAACAGTCTGAATCACTCAAGTCCTACAATTCTCGAAAAACCTGCTCAGTTGATTCAAATTCTGCTGGATGCTTCGCTAAAACTACTGTCCATTCCACAAGAAGTTCTTTCTATGCATCGCTTCCCGCATCATATTATGGAACTATTGAAGGTATGTCGCACTCTTCTGTGAATAGTATAAATGAGGACCGGTCAAGGACACTATTGTTGCCGTCAATGTCAGACATTATAGAGCAACAAAAGAGAGAGCAGGAGATTTTGCGAAAATCTGTGACTAAGCGCAACTTACAAGAAATTCAAGAAGAACAGGCTTTTCAGGAATGGTGGGATAGTGAGAGTAAGCGGGTTCAGGAAACGGAAGCAGCAAGAACAGCTACAGATGATAACAGGGATCAAGGTAAAACTTTGCAAGGTGATGGAAGTCGTAGCAAAAATAATGGGAAGAAGAAATCTCATGCCAATTATCGAGGAGTTAAGTTTAAGGGGTAGCGTTAATTATATGGAGTCACGACTGGGTCTACTTGTCCATAGAATAGGCGAGATTTGGTGGTATGCGTTTGTGTAATAATAATGCAGGATTGAATATTTAGCAAAGTCCTTTCGGTACTAAGTTGCTTATCAAGTTTTCAGCTTCGAAATTCCAGTCAAAGTGAATTACCGCGTCAGTGGTCCAGCTTGATAACGAGCTACACCTTAACGATGTTTAAAATCCGAGTCAAGGAGTAATTTTCTAACCTAAGCGTGGAATTACTCTATGTATATTATTCAGTTGACTGTAACAATGCTGTCTATATTAAAAGTTATTGAGAAAGAATGAAATTGGATATTTGACAGCTGAATAATGTAGTAGATTTTAGGAATTTTTGATAACTTTGATTCTTCGTATGTTTTTCATTAAACGAGTTGGGCACAAAAGATTTCGACATTACAAATATTGTTAGTGTTTCCCATATCTCCAAGGTACAAGTACATGAGATAGCAGACACGCAAAGTAACAGGCAAGACAATCGTTTCATGTTAGCCCTCTTTTTTCGAGACATGGAAAGCTTAGTTTATGGTCGAAGCTGATTAAATGAAGCTCTCATTCAGATTAAAAATCGTCATAGCGAGCCGGCCACCAAATACAGATACAAACCCACATGCAAGCAACCCTGGAATTATTTATTTGATTTTGTAAGAATTCACATCAAAATTATGCGAAAGTCACGAGATCGTATGTAACTGTGCCAGATTAAGAAGGCAATTAATCATCAAAAGAACTAACTCCTTCATTCTTCTATACTGCTACGAGAGTCTGATTTTAATACCCCTCTCTGTGATCCCTAGTCACTCCCAACAAGTACATGAGGCTATTCTAGTATCTTCTTCAATGCCCTCATGTGCGCAATTAGTAAGTACTATATCCCTGTTATTGATCTGCATCTGGCCTATGAACTGTACCCCAGCATGATAGACTTACGTCTGCTTACAGATTTGATTGAATTTAACGTCGTGCCTGTCCACAGCTCGTGACTACTGTCACGTGCTGGACGGCCCAGTCCCTACAGAACTACCCGACGCACTAGCACGCACTACAACATCTGACAATCTCACAGCATATTCTCATTTGTAGATTGTACTGTAAAGACCCTTCCGTTCTGGCTCCGATCAGAAACAACCACAAAAACATCAAACCCCCCCTTACCACCCTTCACAAGTCGCGTCAAAAACCGACAACTGTAGCCAAACCGACACCAGAATCAAGCCGCATCCCGCGCTCAGCGCGCGCGAGAGCAGCCCTCCCGACTATGGAGGGTCTTACCCAATCTCAGGCGGTAGAAGCCATTCCCTTCTATAATCCAGCTCTTAGCGATTGGGACACACCCGGGAGCAGCCAGCAGCTTGACATGGAGATCGATCCAATTAATTACGACGATCAAATCGAATACGACGACCCCATAGACGACCCATTTTCAGAGCCAGCTCCCGCGGGCCCAATGCAAGACACTCTGACCAAGAGCGTAAACTCTTTGACAGCCCGAGCAAAAGAAGCAGAGACCCTTTTTGGAGGTATTTCTGCACTAATCGACAAGCATAGCAGCGCACCCAACTACGCTACACTACCCGCCAAGCAAGCTGAAGCATTCAAAAGCCTTTGCAATGATTTAGCTAAAGTCGCAGCACGGCATTTCGATGCTTACCTCTGTGACAAGCCAGTGACCGTCACCATCGACGCCGCCACGTCCAACCGCAATGCCCCAAAAACTGCGCAGACCTACGCAAATGCAGCTTCAAGGGCGTCCAATAAGCAATTCGCCGGTCGCCACACTCCAACCCTCCAAACACCCGCTAAAGCGCGGCTTCAGCTCAAGCCCACCCGCACTGATGATCGTTTATTTGTCCGTATCCCGGAAGGTAATACACTCCGAGATCACTCAGCATACGCGATACAATCCCACCTGAAAGCTAAGCTTGGCAATGAGGGTCAGATTCTTACAAATGTGCAGTCAACAAAGACTGGTTTCGCTCTCTGCCCCAAAGACGGAGACTCAGAAAATCTCATGGAAAAGATAAAGTCCGTTAGTTTCTTCGGGGACGCACCAGTTGAGAAAGCAACACCATGGACTTCCTACCGCATAAAAAATGTTCCCCGGACATATGGAGCCCTGGAACACATCAACGAAGAATGGAAGTACTGCCTTAAGCCCGTCACAGCTGAGGCGTTGAAGGATGCCCTAGCCACGGCAGCTGGAGCGGTACCTGTAGCTATTGCGGCTTCTCGCGACAATGATGCTAATCCAACGTCCTCATCGACGACATGGATCGTGCGTTTCCCAGAATCACATCAGCGCCTGCCACGAACCCTCTTCCTCCTTGGCTACCGCACGCAGACAAGAATTCTGCCCAAGCGTCAGATGGCTGTCCAGTGCACCCGGTGCTGGCTCTGGCACAATACACGCACATGTGCCTCCGACCTCAGATGCCGCCTTTGCGGATCCTCCAGACACTCCGAAAAAGACCATGCCAATCAATGCGGCGCTACGGGCCAACACATATGTCCCAACAGATGTATCCACTGTCATGGGCCCCATCCCGCGGACGATGTCAGCTGTCACCTCCGGCCTAAGCCCTCCGGTCCTCCAAAGACCAAGAATCAAGTAACTGCTATCCGCCAGATTAACGCAGACGCTCGCCTACGGAAACAAGCAGAAGCTGGCTGTATCAAGGCTACGGCCAGCCCCAAAACCCCGCGTACTACGGCCGCAACTCCAGCTGAAATAGGCCAAACCCAGCCGGTTTCAGTAAAATCCATCAACCCCTACGAAGTTCTACTCACAGGGGATCAGAGCAACGACCAAGCGCAATCGTAATGACCCCTTTACGGCGCCGCAAACATAACAATTGCCCATTAAAAATAGTATCTGCAAATGTCGGCCGCGGTGCCCAAGCGCACGAGTTAGCTCTCAACGAAGCCAGCCTAGCCTCCGCTGATATTGTCCTAATACAAGAACCGTACATTTACAGCGACCGCGCCAGGCGGATCACCAAACGCCACCCATCCTTTGAGTCCTTCTCACCTATCGACGACTGGACATCTTCACGACCCAGGGTGATGTCCTATGTGCGGAAAAATGCCTGTCTCTGTTCAGAACAGGGTTATACGGCATTCTCAGGCGATATGCTTCTTCTTAAAATTATCTCGTCCTCTGGTAAGTCCATAAGCATTATCAACGTCTACAACGCTCCTGCAGGACCCACCAGCAATAGCGTTCTCGATTCTCTTTACTCTCTCACCCTCCCATTCGAAGGCAATCTGCTTATCTCTGGAGATTTCAACCTACACCACGCCAGATGGCAGCCATCATGGACCCGCAGCCCCTCCCCCGGCGCCGTAAAATTCACAGAATGGGCAGATAAAAATAGTCTCTCTCTTCTATCACCTGCAGATATGGCAACGCATGACCGAGGCAATGTACTCGACTTAGTTCTCGGATCCAGCCCTCTAGTTCAAAAGACAAAGTGCACCCTCGCTCCACACCTGGACACGACGTCAGACCATGCCACAATACTCACTTTAGTAGATTGGGAAGGCTATACTGAACCCCTCCGCAGGCTCAGATTCGACACGTTGGATAAGGATCTTTTCCTCCGTCTCCTATCCATCAATATTGATGGTATTAGTCCAATTCCACTAGCTTCCACCAGGGAGGCGCTGGACAGGTGTGCTATAGAGTTAACAGAAGCTATTCGTACAGCATACACGGGCGCAGCCCGCCGCTCACTAGGCCATGGTAAAGGGAACCCATGGTGGGATATATCATGCAAACAGGCTCGCCAAAGATACAAGAATGTCCGTTGCGGACCCATAACAGAGGAAGGTGTTGCCAGAGAGAGAAAGGAGTATCGGGGCACGATTGCAAGGGCAAAGAAGGCATACTTCACTAACAAGATTGCCGCAGCCAGTACGGGCAAGGACATCTTCGCTCTGACAAAATGGCATAAGTCCACGGGTAACTTCCGATCCACTCCCCTTAAAGATCCTAGGTCTCCAGACCGTCCTCCTGCAACATCGTTGCCAGAAAAAAGGGAAATTCTACTCGGTAATTTACTCACAAACCTGACTGTAGTGGATGATATCCCTTTGGATACCCCGACAGTTGCAAAACGCTCCATTTCGTTCCCACCACTCTGCCAGGACGAAGTTCAGGATTCGATTCTTAGAGCAGGAAATACAGCCCCTGGGGTTGACGAGATCCCGACTGCCATATTGCGTATAGCTTGGCCCCTCATCGGAGAACATATTTTCTCACTCTTCAAAAGCTGTCTCACTCTCGGTCACCATCCTGTCTGCTTCCGACAAGCTGTCTTAATCATGCTTCAGAAGCCAAACAAGGCAGACCTATCTTCTCCTCGCTCATACCGCCCGATAGCACTTCTCTCCGCACTTGGGAAGGGGTTGGAGCGGCTGATAGCCAGACGTATAGCTTGGATTGCGACCCGAAATACGATACTCACCACCCAGCAGTTTGGTGCTCTCCCAGGAAGGTCAGCCGTCGATCTCACCACCTGTCTTACACATGATGTCGAAAGAGCTTTGAGCGAGGGGCGCACGGCTAGCATGCTGACACTCGACGTGAAAGGAGCCTTTGATGCTGTGCTCCCAGGCCGGCTTGTCCGGCGTATGCGGAAGCAAGGCTGGCCAGAGTTCCTTGTCAACTGGGTAGCCTCTTTCGCTACTAACCGTTCAGTACAAATCCGTCTCGATGGCGAGCTAGGTCCTCTCCAGTCAATCAACTGTGGTCTCCCACAAGGCTCCCCTGCCTCACCTATCCTTTTCATGCTCTATATATCCCCTCTGTTCAAGCTGGGAAACGTCTCTAGGAGGTTTGGGTATGCTGACGATATCGCAATTCTTGAGACCCAAAAATCACTTCACGACAATTGCATCTCTTTAAAAATGGCACTGAAAGAAGCTTTAGAATGGGGGATAAAGGAGGGCATCACTTTCG